TTTTCCTCCCCCTCTTCTCCAAACGATGCCGTTTCCTCCCATTCTTCACCAAACGATGCCGTTTCACCTCTGAAATTCTCACCCTACCTATACATCTATATATACATACCATTTTTTTTTCAGTTATTACACTTCCTTTTGCGTCTTCCATCCTTGCATCTTGTAAAATGTCTTTGATTTATTTCATCTGGCTGATGTAGATCCCTTTTTTTAACCTGGCTATCTCGACTCCAAGGAAGTATCTTGCTTGGCCGAGGTCCTTGACCGTAAAGGCTTCATCTAGGGCATTTTTTACTTTACAAATCTCTTCATTGTTAGGACTCGTAACAAGTAAGTCATCCACATATACCACAATTGCTACATAGTTTTTTTTTTGTTCCTTTTGTGAATATACAATTCTCGACTTCTGACTTAGTGAAGCCGATGGATTGAAACTTTGAAGTAAGCTCCTTATACCATTGGTGACCCGCTTGTTTCAGGCCGTACAGCCTCTTGGTTAAATGGTATACTTGCCCTTCACTGGCCTTGAAGTAGCCCTCTGGGCATTTTAGGTATAGGTCATCTTCTACAAATCTATGTAGGTATGCATTATTGATATTTAACTGATACACTGACCAGTCACTAGCTGCCACGGCTAAAAGTAGTCAAACCGTGACCATTTTAGCCACTGATGAAAAGCTATCATGATAGTTATGCCAAACTCTTTATTGTAACCCTTAGCAACGAGTCTTGTTTTGTATTTTTCAACTGATCCATCGGCATTGTATTTTATTTTATACACCCATTTTGAGTCAATTGCTTTCTTCCCTTTTGGTAGTGTAGTTAGTTCCCAAGTGTTATTGTCTTATAGTGTGGACAGCTTGCATGGCCTCAACCCACTTATTGTCCTTTTTAGCATCCGTATATGACATTGGTTCTTTCGTAATAGACAATTGTGCAATTAAATTAACATAGTCATGATTATATGCAGATGAAGTGAACATGAGGAAGGGAGGTTCGGGCACAGGTTGTTCGGTGATATGGGCAATAAAGTCTTCCATCCAAGCGGGCCTGCTTCTCACCCTGGTGCTCCTCCTTGTTTCAGACTCTTCTAGGATGATGTTTGGTAAGGGGAATTTCTTCTCTACTTTGTAACTGGTTTTCGGGTATGGTTGCTATGTTGATGTTTGGTATTAGTAGTGGGGTGTCATGATAATCTGGTTTAGGGTGTTGTATTTGGTATGAGTGAATCTTTTCATGGAATATGACATCTTTTGACAAAATCGTTTTTCAGTCTATTATATCATATAATTTGTAAGCTTTAGCATTAGGTACATACCCTAAGAAAGCAGGTTTTGAAGCCCTGGGTTCAAACTTGTCCTTTTGGGGGTTAATATTTGTAGCAAAACATAGGCAACTGAAAACTTTTAGGTTTGAGTAATCTGGGTGTTTTTCGTACAAAATTTCATAAGGAGTTTTTCACTTTAAAACAAAGTTTGACATAACGTTTATTATGTGTGTGGCTTTGAGTATGGCTTCGTCTCAAAACCTTTTTGGTAATTTTAATTCAAACATCAATGCCTAGCAATTTCCAGTAGGTGTTTATATTTTTTTTCCACCACACCATTCTGATGTGGTGTGTATGTACAAGTTTTTTGATGCATGATTCCTCTTTCTTGAATTTTTTTTTTGTATGAGGTGTTCATGAACTCAATGTCATTGTCTGTCCTAACTATTTTGATTGTTTTTTGAAATTGATTTTATATTAGATTGCAAAAATATTTTAAAGTATTTGATACACTTGTTTTCTCTTTTAATAAATAAGTCCAAGTGACTCTTGAAAAATCATCAATTATGGTTAAAAAATAGAATGCACTAGAGATACAATTGACCGGGTATGGTCCCCAAAGATTAACATGTATCAAACTAAAAATGTCATTGGTATTGATAGAACTTATTTCATGTTTTAATTGATATATCAAAAGCCTGTTACTTTCAGCATACATTTCTTTAATTTCATCCCACATGTTTTTTGCTGATGTGGTGTACAAGAAGGAGCTAGCAAGCTCTTTATTCATGGAGCTTAGGATCTAGGACACTACCATACTGTCTGTTTTGTGCCATTGTTCATATTCTGCTGCATCAAGTTTGGACTTTTTGCATCTGCCATCAACATAGCGAGCTTATCTTTGGCTCTCAACACAATCACCATGG